CTCCACACTTGATGTCCAACTCATTTTCAATTAGAATCAGGTCCTCGGAGGTCACCTTCCACTGGTGGCTGGCAAAGTGCACGACAGCAAAGAGCCGGCCATACTGGCCTGTGGCGATCAGCTCGTTCACCTTCCTTACAACCTCTGCAGAAAGGACATGGCAATCATCCATGGGATAGGCCATCTACTTGTGAGGGGCACTCACTGCAGTCCATTCAGGCCTGCTTACCCACCCAATAGGCGGGTTCAGGGTTAGGCTGGTGCTCTTCAGGAGCACAGGCAGGGAGTACCACTTCTGTGGTTCTGGGACAGAACCCTCACCTTGTTTTGCTTTTCTCAAAAAAAAAAAAAATTAGTTAAGAACCAGTGAACAAACTGAGCATGAATGGTACATGCCTATAATTCAGTATGTGGGAGGCTGCAGTGAGTCTGAGTCTAGCCTGGGCTACATTCCAGGGTGAGATGCATGCAGTCTGAGCAGTGAAAGGCCAGTCTTGTAGCCTGAGGAGCCAGAAGTCTATCTCTCTGAGCTGAAGGCACCATCCATACCTACTGCTTCTCTGCTCCCATCATCACTGCCTCGATGGCTCAAGTCACAGTCCCCAGCCCTCAACTTTGCCCTGAATGGCACCCACAGCACTGAGCCCCATCCCTAGGCTGAGGGATGGACACATAGGACAGACATGATAACTCCTGCCCTGGAAACAAGTCAAAGCCAGAAGCAGCTCCTGTCATCACTGATGAAAGCTCAATGAGGAAGAGTCTTCAGTGTCCTTGTGCTCAACATCCACAGAATTGGCTAAGCACAGATCAAAAATATTCAGAAAACAACAACAACAACAACAACAAATCAAAACAAAACTTGTGCATGTGCCAAACACACACAGACCTCTAGGTAGGACTATATTTATTTTGAACGGCATCTTAAACAGTATTTTAAATGCCAGAAGATTGACTGCAACAATGGGAACTTGTAACTCTGGGAAACTCAGATGTGACTCTACAGCTGGCACAGCTATGCTGCCTTTCCTGACACTTAGCTGAGGCTGGACATGAACTTGTGATTCTGAGTGCTGAGATGCCAGGTGTGTACAGACACACAACATAGCTGGAGATTCAGGTGCACCCAACTCCCATCACCTGGCTGCCTTGTGGCAGATGCTGGAGAGCTGTTTACAAAGGGAAGGCACACCTTAAGTGCTGGGCACACATGTGTGTTGTTCAGAGCACTCAGAAACCTGCCATCTTGCTCCATGGCAATGATTACCTCAGTGGCTCATGAGCGTGGACACTAGGTGCTACCCATACATTTCCCTTTTTGTTTTGGTTTTTGAGATAGAGTCTAGGCTGGACTCAAACTCGCAGTAATCCTCCTGTCTGAGTCTCCCAAGTGCTAGGGTTACAAAGGCCACCCTGCCCAGCCCCTGCAAAGTCTTACCTGTGTGGTGTCTGGTCTCTTCAACAGGATCTGGCAGAACCACTTCTTCCCAGGGTGGTGAGCTCAGGGAGGTCTTAGGAACGTATCTGCAAAAGCCATTTCATAAACTCACATCACATGCACATGAAAGGCAGCTTTAAGTGCCCAAGGAGTAGTTGTGTGGTGTCAGAGGGTATCAGTGCACAAGCTTGTTATGGAAGGATATGAGACTCACAACTCTAATGCTGGCTGTAGACCACTCTCATAGGAGTTCCAACCTTTCTGTCTCCAGGGGCATGTGCAGACTTCAGACCCAAGTTTTGCCTGTCTATGCCTTTAACAAGCACACATCTGCAATGAATGGACACTCTCCCTCATACCACTGTTAGTCTCTAGGAACATGAATTCCATGGTCAGTGGCCTTGAGGGAGCAGGAATAGCTGGAAAGAGCTGTTCTCTGAATCTCTCTTCTGAGTGACATTACGTTCAGTGACTATCCAGGATGGAGTCAGATGAAGAAAGTGGAAAGAGGAAGCTGGGAAAATGGAGTCTGGCAGGAGGACTGGGTCTGTCACAGCAGAATTGGAAGAACAGGCCACTCAGTGAAATGCCACTTGGGGGTTCTTCATGTTTTCAGAGTGTGTTTTATAATTTGTCATTCTGAGACTCAAAGGTTTATGCTGCTGAGAATATAAACACAGCAGGATTACTTACAGTTTTTGGCCAAACCTGTATGTCAGATGTTGTTCTGGGGATATGCATATATGTAACTTATACATACATGCATGCGTTACTTCTGATGGGGATAGAATTGTGTGTGTGTGTGTGTGTGCATTTGTTCTGGAGGAAGAACCCAAGGCCTCAAGTATGTTGGACAAACACGCTATCACTGAGCTACAGTCCTATACAGCTTTTTCAAAATGTGAAGAAATTTTTTGTTATTGTTCTGATTTAAAGACAAGGTCTCTCTATTATGTAGCTCTGGTTGTCCTGGAACTTGCTCTGTAGATCAGGTTGGCCTCAAACTCACAGAGATCCATCTGCCTCTGCCTCCCGAGTGCTGGGATTAAAGTCTGCCATCACACCCAGCTTCTAATTTAGAGAAGTATTTTGTTTTGTTTTTGTTTTTCACAGGGCTTCTCTGTGTAGTCTTGGCTGTCTTAGAATTGGCTTTGTAGACCAGGCTGGCCTCGAACTCAAGAGATCTGCCTGCCTCTTCCTCCTGAGTGCTGAGATTAAAGGCGTGCACCACCACCACCCAGCTTGAGAAGTTTGAACTTGAAAGTAACATTTCTACAGACAATGGAAAAATCACCAAACCAGCATATTGGTATCATTACCCTTGTGGATACGAAGTGCTCTGTGAATTGAATCTTTGAGAAGCAGACTGGAGGGCGGCTGTAGGAACAAGAGAAACACGGTCGGAAGTTACTGTGATGAAATGCACAGATCTGTTGCTGGTGTCTGGTTTAACCTACTGTATCACAATCTGCCTCTAAAAAAGCTCAGGTGAGAACTGGTGATGGCTCAGTGGGTAAACTGCCTGCTACACGGTGTGAGAACCTGAGTTCAGATCACCAGCATTAAAATAAAAACCCAGGCACAGCACCACTCATTTGTTACCCAGTACTGGGGAGTAGAGACAAAGGGATCTCAGGGGCTTGTTGACTAGTCAATCTAACCAAAAGGGCCAGCTCCACTTTTAGTGAGAAACCTTTAGAAATAAGGTGGGGATGGGCTAGAGGGACGGTCAGTGGTTAAGAGCACTGGCTGCTCTTGTAGAGGACAAAGTTTGGTTCATAGCACCTACACAACAGCTTACAACTGCCTGTAACTCCAGTTCCAGGGGATTTGTGATAAACCAGCTTGACTCCATCTTAGGTGTGGAAGCTAGCTTATAGTAAAGACAAACTAGGTTCATTCACGTTTATGATTAAATTTGTTTCTCAAGGATAGGGCTATGCCCCCCTCACAACCTTAACTACAAATGGTTCTGTACTGCCTGTTCCAGGAAATGACAACCATGCCTCTATTTCAAAAGGTTATCATGACCCCCTGTTGTTAGACCACCTGTTATAATTGACTACCTTGTTATGACCACCTTGCAATCATGTCTTTGTTTCAGAAGGTTATTATAGCCAACTCTTTATGATTATGTTTTGCTTCTGTAACCCCATCTATTTTCCTGCCAAATCCTCCATTTGGAAACTCCCTACTCCTGAACTCTACAAACCCTCATCTCTACCATGTCCAATGCTGACCTCTTGAACCCAGTTTTAGGGGGAAGCAGCTGTGTACATGAATAAAAAAGCTTGCTTTAATTAACTTTTTTGTCCATGATGATTTGGGTTGGTGGTTTTTCTCTTCAAATCTATAGGATTAATATCTGATCCCCTCTTTTGGACCCCAAAAGCACCTTTATTAAAATGCACATAAGACACCCACACCCACATACAAATAAACATCAAAATAAATCTTTTAAAAGGAAGAAAGAAAAAGAAAAGGTAGAAGACAGCTAGTGGTCACCTGACACCATCATCTAGTCTGCACACCGGCATGTGCACCCACTTACACACACACACACACACACACACACACACAAACCAAAAAGTCCGGCCAACAAAACTAAAGACACATCACTTAGTTACTAGTTATGTTTCAAGATGGTTCATCCTATGGTCTACAACCCTAACATCAAAAACACTCACTCCTTTCTTCAACGTCATTTTTCAGATCCGAGGGTGGCTAGCAGCCCGAGGTCAAATGTCCACGGTCAGGCGTTGAAACCCTCCTTATATAGCGACTTCCGAATCGCTTCCCTCTGTATGATTCTGAGTGATATTTCTCTGAGTTTTTTTGTGTCTTTTTTTTTTTTTTTACGAGACAGGGTTTCTCTGTATTGTTTTGGAGGCTGTCGGTCCAGCCTGGCCTTGAACTCACAGAGATCCGCCTGCCTCTGCCTCCTGGGATTAAAGGCGTGCGCCACCACCGCCCGGCTTTTTGTGTCTCTTTAATATAGGACCTACACATAAGTTTAAGAGTGCTTGAAGGAACCGCGTCTTCATCCCAGGTTCTCGTAATGCAAATCCCGTGCAATGTTTAGGACGCACGCAACCAACACACCAGGTACCAAGGCGACACACGTGCGGCAGACGGCAAGCACGCCACTTCGCTTCTGTTTCCTCCCTCCCCGGGACTCCCTGGTCTCACCAGCTCCGGGTCCCGAAGGTGCCAGGATCCTGCGGCTACATATAGACACCAGCCGCCCCAAAGCGCCTGGTAACGCCGAGGCAGCTATGGACGCCGCCATTTTTCCACAGTCCCGACCGGAAGCGGAAGCTACGCGAACCTCGTGCGTTGACTTATTATGCCGGTGGAGAACACCTGGAAGAGGGGAACGGAAGTCCTACTAGAATCAGTGGGTCAAGTAGTGACTATAGGAAATGAGTCCGTCAGGATTCACTGCCCTGACAGGGAGTACAAGTCCGTTGGGGACACTGGCCCCGTGGGGACACGGTCCGACGGGAACACGGGTCCCACAGGACTAACTGACCGAGCAGGAAGCTCCAGTCAGGGGCTGCATCGCGGAGGAGATGGCCTTGTCCACCGTGGAGAGCTTTGTGGCCCAGCAGCTAGAGCTGCTGGAGCTGGAGCGGGACGCCGAAGTGGAGGAACGCAGGTATGTGCGCCCGCGAGTCCCCGAGCCTCTGCCGCTCTCCTTCATAGTCTTCTGGAGCGGGTCAGTCAGCGGGAGTCAGCCCTCTGCGGTGTCAGGGCCGCACACATGTCATCCCAGCACTCCGGGAGTCGAGGCAGGAGGATCGGAAGTTCAGGGTCATCTTTAGCCTCATATCCAATTTGAGGTCAGCCTGTGCTACAGGAGACCTTTTGCCACTATATCTGCCCTCACCCCCGAGAGAGAACCGGGGAGGAGAGTGTTCCCGAGATCAGCCTCCTAGAGTAAAGTAGATGAAACCCATGTTATTATGATGCCTAAAGAGGCGGCTTGTTTCTGGAGAATGTCTACTGGCCTGCAGCAGGCAGATCCTGCACTCCTTTACCCCACAGTACCATCCCTGAGGTGCGTTTCCCTGAGGAAAGACAAAGGCTGGCGAAGTAACTGGCCCAGGGTAACCCACGTCGAGGCAGGACTTGAAGCTAGGCTGTTCAATTACAGCTGCGACCGATGACTTGTTGAGAGTCAGCCAGTCACAATGAGTAAGAGTTTTTGCTGCCCTGGCTATGGGACTGTGGAACTGTATACCCAAGTTTCCCTTGCTTCATCTGTAAAGGCATGAGATTCTCACACCACATGCTTACTGTGGGAGTGATCTACTGCAAGTCAAGCTAGAGCCTTGAACCGCAGTTACAGTGCTGGAGTAAGAGGGAGAGAGTGAGTACCGTATAAATGGGTGGCCCCATAGGACTTGCTGAAAAATGGAGTAGATGTTGGGAAGACTGCATTGGCAGCCTGGAGCAGGTTAGGCAGTACCAGGGAGCTGTGGGAGGCCAGGGCTGGGGTGGAGCAGATTCCGATTTCCTCTGGGGCATGTTTGGTTGCCTATAAGCAGAATCTTTCCTCGTAGGAAAGGGTACAGGCACACACAGTGGAACTGCTATCCTGGGTGTCTTCCAGGTCCTGGCAGGAACACAGTTCTCTGAAAGAGCTCCAGAGCCGAGGGGTGTGTTTGCTGAAGCTTCAGGTATCCAGCCAGTGCACCGGGCTGTACGGACAGCGGTTGGTCACCTTTGAGCCCAGGAAATTGGGGCCTGTGGTGGTGCTTCCCAGCAACAGCTTCACATCCGGTAGGTGTCTGGTGCAGGCATGTATTGGCCATTCCTGGTGTTCAGATTAAGGCTTGTGTTCTCCCAAAGGCTGGAGGACACAGATGGAATATGAAGCAATGAAAACTTCCTGTTTAGAAATCTTAGAATTATCATGGCTGGCGATGTTGTTTTGGGACAGGGTCTGAAGTTTACTGTGCAGCTGAGGATGACTTTGAACTTTGAATTCCTCATCTTCTGGCCACTACCTTGCAGGTGCTGGAATTACAGACCTACTGCATCATGCCTGCCTTTTTATTGGTTTTTAGAGCCAGGAATGTGACTCACTGTGTAGCCCTGGTCCATTTAGAAGTTTCTGTGTAGATCAGGTTGTACTATAAGTTGCAGTAAGCTTTCTGTCTCTGTCTACTGAGTTCTGGAATTGCAAGTATGTGCTACCTGTTTGGCTGTTAATACTTTGCTTTTTGGTTGCCCTGGTGGGCAGCTTTATCTTTACGGTGCCTGGGGCAGAACCCAAAGCCTCTGGCATGCTGAGCAAGCCCCCTGCCATTGCACCGTACTTTGGAGCTTTTTGACCACACACCAGGGATGCTAAGTTGGCCTTAGCCCTGAAAACTGAGAGCTGGCAGTACTACCTGGCTTTGTCTTGTTTTTTAATGTGCATTGGTGTTTTGCCTGCACTTATGTCTGTGTGAGGATGTTGGACCCCCAGGAGCTGGAGTTACAGATACAGACAGTTGTGAGTGCCACGTGGGTGCTGGCAATTGAACCCAGGTACTCCGTAAGAGCAGTCAGTGCTCTTAACCACTGAGCCATTTCTCCAGCCCTGTGTGTCCTGTTTTGAGTGGCAGCCTTTGACTTCATAGCCTCTTGTCTCAAGAGTAGTTCCCCTGCACGGTTTGAAGGGGGTAAGATGAGGGGAGTGGGAAGGTAACGAAGGAACCTGTTGGTGGGTGCGAGACCAGGCTGAACTTGAGCTACATTCAGCCGGCTCCATCAGAAGGTGGGAACAAGAGTGCCTGCCACTGTCAGGCATGAGGAGCAGTACAGGGCTTGTGCTTTGTGCTCTCTGAAGCTGTATGAAGTGCTGGCGTGGTGGGTGGTGGTAACGGAATTGGACCTCTGTGTGGAACACCAGCAAGTTGGAGTGGTGGTGTGTGGACACTGCTGTTGACCAAATTCAGGGGATGTGGCTGTTGTACATCTTCTGAGGGGCAGTCTCGAGTCTTGGTCACTCGGAAGTAACAATCTTGAGATGAGGGGTCCTACACAGGGTGTGGTATAGGGAGTCGAACACAAGCTCAGCTTAGGAGCATCCTTGTCATATCCTGTTGGTCTTCTAAAGTCAGGGAGGAGACCAGTAAGACTCAAGGCACAGGCGAAACTCACGCTTGGGTGAGGTGGCTCCAGAGAGAAAGGTGCTTGGGTCCTGTCCCCAGGATCCACATGGTAGGTCCATAAATACCGTGATATTCAGCTGGGTTTGTTTTCCTAGGGGATATTGTGGGTCTGTATGATGCTAATGAAAGCAGCCAGCTGGCCACTGGGGTCCTGACCCGCATCACCCAAAAGTCAGTCACAGTGGCCTTTGATGAGTCCCATGATTTCCAGTTGAACCTGGACCGAGAGAATACGTACAGACTGCTGAAGCTCGCCAATGATGTCACGTACAAGCGACTGAAAAAGTGAGTGTTCCAGGCCGAAAATCAGAGAGGTGTTTTTCTTGAATGAGACTCATGGATGCCCTTGTTTGTGTTGAGGGGGGGGGTGTCCTGTATGCTGGGTGCTCTCAGGTGATGGTGTCCCTGCACTGTTGTCCCAAAGAGCTCCTCATTTTGACTCTGGTTCCTCACAGAGCGCTGATGACACTGAAGAAATACCACTCTGGGCCAGCGTCCTCACTCATAGACGTCCTTTTGGGTGGTTCCTCCCCGAGTCCCACCACTGAAATACGTGAGGATTTTTAAATTTCTTTTTTTAAGATTAATTGTGTGTGTGTGTGTGTGTGTGTGTGTACATGTGTTTGTGTGCATGTATGAGTGCAGTGCTTGGGGATGTCAGAAGGACATTGGACCAGCTGGAGTTGGGGGTAGTTGTGAATTGTTCAGCATGGGTTCTGGGAACCAGCTATGGGTCCTTTGCCACATCAGTGCATGCTTTTAACTTCTGAGACATTTCTCTAGCCCCAGCTTTTAAATCTCTTACCTGAAATTATTTAGGGCAGTGTGACCTTGTGCTGTTTTAGCAAGAGTTTACACTGAGTCTGACATTTCTGCCTTGACATCTTTGGATGTGTTTCTCTGACTGACTTGCAGACTCTAGGCCATCTTCCCTGGACTCAGTACTGGAGAAGTTCTCACTGCAGAACTTGCTGCATAGTTGAGACAGGCCTTCAACCTGTGATTCTCGTACTTCTACTTCCTAAATGCTTGGGCTGTAGGTGTGCACCAATACACTGTGTGTTATACATGTGCACATGTTTGTGTGAGTGAGTATGAGTGAGTGTGTGTGTGTGTGTGTGTGTACACCTAGGTGTTATGGCCAGAGGTTGCTATTATGTGTCTTCCTGAGACCCTTTCCGCCCTGTTTTTTCTCTATTTATTATTGTGTGTCAAGTGTGCATGCAGAGATCAGATAATAGCTGTATGAGTTGGTTCTTTCCTTCTTGCTTTACAGGGTCCTAGAGATTGAACGCACATTACCAACTTATGTGATGGTGCCTTTACCCACTGAACTGTCTCATGACATCTTATGTTTGAGTTTTTGAGGGTAGTCTCTTGCTGAACTTGGAGCTTACTGACTAGATAGGCTGACTGGCCAGTGAGTCCCAGGGATCCACCTGTCTCTGTTTCCTGGTGCTGGGACTATAGATATGCTTCACTGTGTCCAGCTTTAACATGGTGTTGGAGACCTGTACACAGGTTTTCATGCTTGTGTGGCAAAGCACTTTGCCTATTGAGCAATCTCCCCAGCCCCCACCACAATCTTAAATTTATTTATTTATTTGTTAGTAGGTCTTGTGTGGCTCAGGCTGGCCTTACTTTCAAATTTACTCTATGGTCAAGAATGATCTTGAACTCCTGACATACTTCCCCCTCCTGAGTGCTACCATACCCACCTCAAAAATATATTAGTTGCCTTTAAAGATTGGTGTGTCCTGATTGTAGCTGTTATCTAATTAACAAGAATTAGATAGAATGTAGAATGTGCCAGAAACTTGGGATTTGATAGTGTGTGTTTTGTCCCTCCTGCTCTTTTGATGGCTCACAGGCTTGTCGCCTCTCACAGGTCCAGCTCAGCACCCTTTTCATAAGAGCTTGGTGCACTCATCTGTTGGGTGTCTCTGGTGAACACTGGGACGGAGCTGAGCACAAGAGGCCATTTGGGCCAGAGTGCCTCAGTGGGTCAAGTGCCTGCTGTGTGAATGTGATTAGATCCCCAGAACCCAAATGGTCATCCTATATGTAATTCTACCACTCCTACTATGAGATGAGAGGTGGAGCAAAGCTCCTTTGAGTGCATAGGCCAGTTGACCTCGCTGCTCAGTGGTGAACAACACATCTTGTGTCAAACAAGGTATAAGACAAGGACAAACCCTGAGGTTGTCCTCTGCCCTCCACCAGGATCCTATTACACACACACACACACACACACACACACACACACACGCACACACACACGTGCGCGTGCACACACACACATGTACGCGCACATGCACAAACACACCCATACACAAACACAATACATGCATACGCGTACACATACAGATGCTTTTTTAAGAAAGCATCATTAGTTATTTGAGTCTTATATTATCCAAAATAAAGTCACCATCCTTTGTCTTTGTCATTTTATGGTCACTTAAGAGTGATAAAACAATGCAAATGAATATACCCCAATAAACAGTTCCTTCCTATCTGTTATTCTAGAGCATGAATTGGCAAAGTTCATACAAACAGATTGTCGACATCTATACTTAGGAGCCATGTAATCTCTTTTGTAACTCACCTTGCTGTGGTACCCAGCAGCCATTGGTCAGATTATAACCAAATGGCATGGCACTTTCTTGTAAAATAAGGAAAAACAGCAGCAGGCTGGGTGTTGATTCCTGTTCCTAGAGAAATCTTGCTTTGAAAATTACAGCTTATATCTGTAGCTCAGTTGATAGAGTACTTGCCTAGCAAGAAGTACTGGGTTCTATCTCCAGTACCACTAAATCAGGTGTGGTGGTATAGCCTGTAGTCTCATCACTCATGAGGTGGAGGCAGGAGATGGGAATGCCCAAGTCATCTTTACCTACTTAGAGAGTTTGAGGCTAGCCTGGGTGATATGAGACCTTGTTTTAAAAAACCAAAACCAAAAAGGTACAAGCACACCTTTAATCCCAGAACTTGCGGAGTAGATGCAGGTGGGTTTCTGAGTTTTGAGGCCAGGTTGGTCTAGATAGTGACTTCCAGACCAGCCAAGGTTACATGGTAAGATCGTGTCTCAAAGAAGGAGAAAACAGCAGACTGATTCTGTGCTGTGTAGCTCAGCCTGGGTCCAGCCTGCTCTGCACTATGTATTCCTGATTGCTGACAGTGGCACTTCTCCCACAGCCCCATTCACTTTCTACAACACGGCCCTGGACCCTTCCCAGAAAGAAGCTGTGTCTTTTGCACTGGCCCAGAAAGAAGTTGCCATCATCCATGGGCCTCCTGGCACCGGGAAGACTACAACTGTGGTGGAAATAATCCTCCAAGCTGTGAAGCAAGGCTTAAAGGTGGGCAGAGGGCCTTCCCTCCTCATCCACCCCTGTAGCTTTGAGTTTGTCATGCTTGTCACTCAGCAGGGTCCCTTCATAGTCCAACTTGGCTGGTCAGGACTGGCACAGGGTATCTGCAGGTTGAGTGTTGGACTGCCGCACTTTTTGCAGTTTCTCTTAGCCTCACAAGCAGGAACACCTGTCCGGATGCACAGGTAAGCTTCGGGAGCCCTTAAGATCTCTCAGCCTTTGTTGTCAGCCCACACGCCCTCAGTTTCCACACTTGCTGTGTGCTCTCGCTCTGAGTCCAGGTTCACAGTGGTGATGTGGAATGACCAGGGCCCTTTGAGAGCCCTGCAACAGTTTGAGGCTGATGATGGGTCTATAGTTAATCAGATGTGCATTAACCCACGAGATACACGTGCACCATGCTTGCTCTGCCTTTCTGAGCCATGAAGCACTGTTGCAGGCTACTGTTCGCACCCATCAGTGTGGGGTTCCCTGGTCCTCCAGACATTCTTGTGTATTTATTTCTGTTGGAGTTAGGAAAGAAACTCGTTGCCATTGCCTTGCTCGAAGCAGTGTGCGGTGTATAGAAAAGGAAAGGGAAGCCAGAGTGACACGTGCTCTCAGGGAGCTGTCATAAGAATGCTGGAGTTAGCCTTGTGGGTGTTGCTCCTGTTTGGACAAACTTCCTCACGTCAGTGTGAAATGAAGTGTCCAATTCCAGACTATGATACTGGAAAAGTGCCTAGACTGTCCTCCGGGCACCAGCTCTCAGGTCCCAGTTGGGAGTCATCAGCACAGAGCTGGTTTCTCCTGACCTCCCAGAACAGGTCTCCATGCTTTCCATAGACTGGCTATAATTTCAAATAGCTGGTGAGGACTTCCACATCAGTGCAATACAGTCTTGTTTTTACTGGGCAAGCAAGACAGACAAGGTACAGAAACCAGAAGTTACCAGTGAGTTATGTTTCATAAGCTGCCGATTCAAAAAGTTGGCATGAAGGAACCCATACCACTGGCTAGCTGTAAGGGTTCCCTTCCAAAAAACCACCTGCTGCTGGGGGAGGGACTCTCACCTGGTGAAGGCTTGCCAAAGCTGTGACTGAACTCAGGGCTGTTGCTGGCCATTTTACCACAACACTGGCGGATAGGAACTGGTAAATGGAAATGGGTTAATACTGGCCAAAACTGAGGAGAAAACGCCCTGGCTTCTCTGGTATTCCTCCACTTGAATCTTTCTCTCCCTCTCTTCCCTCTCCTTCTTTTCTCCTCTCCTCTCCCCATCTCCCTTTCTTCCCCTCTTCCCCTCTCTCCCCCTTACTCTGCCTTGCCTCGCTGTATAGCCCAGGCTGGCTTTGAACCCACATTGACCTTCCTGCCTCAGCCTCCTGAACACTGGGGTCATCTATATGTGCCACTGTGTTAGTGGCTTTAGAGTCTTCTGTGCAGTCACAGTCAGCTGGCAGTGTCCATTGCTTCCGGATGCGTAGCTGTGGAAGTCTGGGCTCCAGTTATTCAGATGTGACCTGGGTTGGATGCCACGTGACCTCGTCACCATGTGTTCACTCTCACCCTAGTGCCTACTTGTTTCACTTAATGTGTTGATAAGTGGTTTGCTTGTTTTGTTGGCGAATTTTGTTTTTCCCAGACAGGGTTTCTCTGTGTAACCCTGGCTGTCTAGAAACTCCCTCTGTAGACCAGGCTGGCCCCGAACTCACAGAGATCCGCCTGCCTCTGCCTCCCAAGTGCTGGGATCAAAGGTGTGCGCCACCACTGCCTGGCTGATAAGTGGTTTTAATTAAGAAGGAAGTTGCTTGAACCCTCACTGCATGCTTTCCTAGATTCTGTGCTGTGCTCCCTCCAACGTCGCTGTGGACAACCTGGTGGAGCGTCTGGCTCTGTGTAAGAAGCGGATTCTGCGCCTGGGGCACCCCGCCCGCCTCTTGGAGTCCGCTCAGCAGCACTCACTGGATGCAGTGCTAGCTCGGAGTGACAACGCCCAGATTGTTGCTGATATCAGAAAGGACATCGACCAGGTCTTTGTAGGTATCATGGTGTCAGTGTCCCCTGGCATGAGCTTGTCTGAGCTTCAGTCTTTAACAAGTGACTGTTCTGATCTGTCCAGGCTCCTCCTCCTAATCTTCTGCTTCTGTCTGCTCACTTAATACTTTATAATCCAGGGCTGTGAGCGTGCCTCAGCATACAGTGTCTCCCTAGCTGGCACAAACCCTGGGCTCAACTCCAGCACCATATAAAATTGAGCTTGGTTGCTCAGGCCTGTCATCCCAGCTCTTGGGAGGTAGAGTCTGGAGGATCAGAAGTCAAAGTCATCCTGGGTTGCATAGTGAGTTCAAGACCAGTCTGGACTACCTGAGTCAAACTGGACCACTCTGTAGTGTTGAACCTCTTTGTAGTTTGGACTGCTTGATGTGGGTGTAGAACTGCTGTGAGCATGTAGGGATCCAGGTGCTTTGGGAGTGTGGAATAGGTGAGAAATTGTGCTAAAGAAAGTGTTCCCTGGCCTTGGGGGTGGTGCAGGGCAGAGCAAGTGCCCGTGTGTGCACTGCCCTTGCTTTCGTCTCTGGCACTGGAAGAAAAAGCATTTCCTCAGTGCCTTCCCTCCCCAGTGCTGGCAAGGTGCATTGGCTGATATTGGCAAGATGAAAAATATTCAGAAAAGTAAGTCCCTTCTGGAATAGTTGGCCCATGTTACCTGTCATACCAGGGCTACCAGGGCTTGCAGAACAAGGTGGTTGGTGGCTGCTGGTGAAGTGTCTCTATTCTAGTAACCGGTGCTTGTAAACTGGATCTGTTCCATGCGTGTGCCCAAGTCTTCCTTAGTTTCCTGGGCTGGGCTGTGTCCTCCCATCAGCCACCCACTGCCTCACCTTGACTCTCCTTGGCCTCACCACTGGGGAATGATGGTAGCAGAGAGGATGCCAGGGCAAGAGTCCGCCTGCCTTTTGGGAAATTGGAGGCTGCATGATGCAGATCTGGGTGTCATTGGGGGGTCAGATGGCTACATGGAGGTGGGAACAAGGATGCATGTGCTGCGTGGGGCTCAGGCAGTGCACTGTGTCACCTCTGTCCACATGCAATGGCAGTGAGCTCAGCCTCTGGCTGATGTTCCCACCCAAGTCCGGACTGACACTTTCTTGCCTGGAGCAACAGCTGTCTGTTGTCCATGGTCCCTTCATGCCTCTTGGTGGGGACTGACCTCTATGACCAGAGTGTGCTTCCTTGATGAAGATTCTGCTGTTCAGCGCTGTCCCTGGAACTCACTGAGCTGCATCTCTGACTACCTGAGATCAGCATAACAGAAAAGACGTACGGAGTCTCACTGGGATAATTACCGGTTTTTCTCCTAGGGCAAGAACAAAAAGACCCAGGATAAGAGAGAGAAAAGTAATTTTCGAAATGAAATTAAGCTACTGAGGAAGGAACTGAAGGAGCGAGAAGAAGCAGCCATAGTTCAGAGCCTCACTGCTGCAGACGTGGTCCTAGCCACCAACACAGGTGAGAGCACAGCCCTCCTGCCACACGGCCTTGGCCACAGTCTGCAGCAGCTGCTGCTCTTCCTGGGACTCACAGAGCCTCTGGGCTGGGATTTGCTGTGTAGGGAATCTTCTAGCTATGAAATCAATGTCTTTCATAGACACGGGCTATTCTGGATGTCCTCTCTTTTGTGTGTGATCATGAGTGTGTGTGCTTGTGGATATGTGTGCCCATGCACAGACCAGAGGAAGATGTCAGGTGTCCTGCTCTGATGCTTTCTTCACTGGTTCTGAGACAGTTTGCTACTGAACCTGGAGCTAGCAGCAAGCCCAAACAGTGCTCCTGCATTCACCCCGACAATGTGAGCTGTAGATTGTTGTGGGCACTCCCTGCTGTTTTCATGGGCACTGGGGACTTGAATCAGATCCTTGTGCTTATGCAGCAAGTGTTCTTACCCACTGAACCATCTTCCCCAGCCTTCTCCCTTCTTATTAGAAGAGGCAGCATAAATAAGGTCTCACTCTGTAGCCTGGTCTGGGCTGGAACTCACTGTGTAGCTCATACTAACCCAAAACTCTAAGTGATGCTCCTGTTTCAGTCTCTGAGTGCCGGGATTGTAGGTATGTGGCATCACACTGGCCTCCTTTCTTCTCTGGTATAGACTTCTAACTCCATTTGTGGTGTCCCACAAGTTGCATGTTTTCATTTTCATTCATTTCAAAGTGCTAATTTGCTTTTTGTTGTTGGGGAGAGGGGGCTGTCATGAAATCTTGGTTTCCATTCTGACTCAGTTATTTATCAGGGTTTATGCTTTCCAAATGGTTGGGGATTCCTGTGCTGTCTTCCTGATGCTGGCTTTCAGCTTTCCTCCATGTGTATTATGTACAATTCTGTGTGATGCCTTGACTTGACTGGCCTATTGAGACCCTTACTTCATGTCCAGAATGTTCTGTGTGTACTCCCTGGAAAAGAGAGCTATGGTGTTAGTGGGGTGTTTGAATGTCTGTCATATCAGGGTGCTGACAGCCTGTTCTGTTTGCTCAGTCACTCACAGAGAGACAGTGTTGCAGATCCAGAGGGAAAGAGTACCACTGTGTGCTTCTCCAAGCACACAACCCTTGCTTTGAACCCTTGGAAGTGCCTTCAGAGGTGTGAATGATAGGTCTTGTCTCCTTGATTAATTACCCAGTTCACCATCATGAAGGGTTTCATTTACTTGTTTTGGGATTTGTTTGTTTTTTTGCTTTTTAAAAAAGTTTTATTTTAACTATGTGCGTGCATGCGTGTGTGTGTGTGTGTGTGTGTGTGTGTGTGTGTGTGTATGTGTGTGTGCGCACGCGCGCACACACCTTTGGAGGCCAGAGACATCAGATCCCCTGGAGCTGGAGTTCTGGAGTTACAGTTGTGAGCCACCTCACGTGGGTACTCGGAACTAAACTCAGGTATGTTCATAACCGCTGAGCCGTCTCTCCAGCCCCAACTTTTTGGTGTGTTTTGAGACTAGGTCTCATGTGGCTCCAGGCTGCCTCATACTTGATTTGTATCTGGAGATGACCCTGCTCCTTATCCTCCTCCTGCCTCTCTTCCCAATGCAGGGATCACAGGTGTGCACCGCCATTCTCGTACGGGTGTGGGCTTCCACCTTAAAGCCCACTAGTGCTTGACTTTCCCTTCTTCCTTTGAAATTTTCCTTGAAATCCTAAATAAGATTTGTTTTGATTTTGTTTTTTGAGACAGGGTTTCTCTTTGTAGCAGTCCTGGCTGCCCTTGAACTCGCTTCGTAAACCAGGCTGGCCTTGAACTCACTGAAATCTGCCTGTCTCTGCCTCCCAAGTGCTGGGATTAAAGGTGTGAGCCACCACTACCTGGTGTTAAATAAGATATTTTTTATTTACTTATTTTGTGTACATGTGTGTATTTGTGTGGGTGGACATGTGTGGAGGTCAGAAGACAGTTTGCAGAAGTTAGTTCTTTCCTTCCAGTATGTGGGTCCTGGGGCTTGAACTCGGGTCTCTATTCATTGAACCTTCTCCGTGGCCATGTGCATAGTAGTTTTAGTATACAACTAGGTCATGAAGCAAAAATGAGTGAGCCATCTTGGTTCCCTTTCCTTCCAGGTGCATCTTCCGATGGCCCTCTGAAGCTGCTGCCTGAGAACCACTTTGATGTGGTGGTGGTGGACGAGTGTGCCCAGGCCCTGGAAGCCAGCTGCTGGATCCCCCTGCTGAAGGCCCCAAAATGCATCCTAGCCGGAGACCACAGACAGCTGCCACCTACCACCATTTCTCACAAGTAAGACACTTGCCTGCCTGCTCTGCTGACCCTCCCCTTAATTTCTTACTGTCGCACAGGGCCAGCCTCCATGCTCAAGCTCACCACGAGGTCTGAGTATTCCTCTGTCATATGGCTCTCAGCTGCACCCCCTCTCTGCGCTGAACATAGGTGTCTACACAGCTGATCAGCTGGGCTGTGTGCTGTGTGAGGGCAGGGCTCTCACCCTCATCTCAATGGCTTCAGGTCCTAGCATAGAGCTGACCTGCTCCTGTGTTCACTGAGGCTTGTTTTGTTGCTCTGAGAACCTGTGAGGGATGGGTGGGCTGGACATGCTCCCTGTGGCAGTTAGCTCCCAGCCTGCTGTGGGCTTTGCAGTGTGGTCTTAGGTGCCTTCATAAGGATGGTAGAGTGACCCAGCTCAGCCTCTCCTGGGTGGAGGAAGTACTGTCTGCTGGCCAGCTCTGCACGTCGTCCTTCCTGCCTGCATCCACTGCTCTGGCCTTCTTGAATCTCTGTGTGCCCCTGCCTCACATTCCCTCTTTCTGAACCACTGCTTTCCTGGGTATTGCCTTACCCTCCATTTAGATGGACTCTATTGTGGTTTCCTATGTCCACTTTGCTCAACTGGTATTGTCAATCTCTTTTAGGGTACATACGGATTCTCTCAACTTGAATCACTCCCGGACAATGTTATCTATCATGTCTGCTTGTCTTCTCATCTAGAAAGCCCATTGTGGGCCTGTGTGTGCAGGATATGACACATGAGTAATCCTTAGCAGATGAACCTACTTCCGGAAAGACAGCCTCCGGCAGCCAGGGCCCTCAGCCCTGCTTGTGGCCTCCCTGCAGCTGAGGAGGCTTTGCCCTGGTGCCTGTTGCATTTGAAATTGTCTGCTTTCTGTATGTGTTCAGAGGTCCTGGTGCAGCTAGAACTCTGGTGGTAAAAGAATTGCTAGGAAAGGTGCTGTGTGGGTCCTCCCAGGAGTGGGTGGTCCTACTAGAGGCAGGATACTCAGGTAAGGGTGTCTTGAAGAAAAACACCTATTGCTTTTGTGGGATTCAAGCCTGGGTCCCGTCGCTTCTTCAGACCGCCAAATAACACACAGACTCTATTAGATACAATGCTGTCAGCCAATGTCTAGGGCTTCTTATTGGCTAGCTCTGTCTTTTTTTTTTTAATTTTTTTAAAATTTTTTTAAAATATTTTATTTTCCAGTTTAAATTTAGATAAGAAATGAGGTTGCTTCACAAGTCAGTTCCAGGTCCCTCTCCCATTCCCTCCCCTCCTCCCGTGCCCTCCCCCCAACCCCCCCCGTTATCCCCTCATTACCCCAGGGTGAGGCCCTCCATGGGGGTGTCCATAGTCTGTCAGTTCATATAGGGCAGGGCCTAGACCCTTCCCCAAGAGTTCAGGGTGAGAGTGCACCTCAAATTGTTCTATGGGAGTCCAAAGTCCGTGTGTATACTTGGGATGGGTACTGATCTGCTGCCCAAGGCTCAATAGATTCCCTAGGCCTCCTCACTGACACCCAGATTCAGGGGGTCTTGATCAGTCCCATGCTGGATTCCCAGGCTGATGCCTGGGATTCAAGAGTTAACCTTTGTCTGGTCAGCTGTTTCTGGGGGTTAAACCAGTCCAGTCTTAATCCCTTTGATCATCGGTCCTCCCTCTCTGTTACTGGCTTTCTTGAGTTCAGCTCAGTACTTAACCAAGGGAGTCTGCCTCTTCTTCGATCAGCCACTAAATGAAGTTTCTGTTTCCCAGACTCTCTGGCCATAGGATTGTAGGCTGGCACTCCCCAGATCTATGTCTAAAATCCATATATGAGAGAGTACATGCCATCTTTCTCTTTTTGTGACTGGGTTACCTCACTCAGGATGGTTTCTTCTAGTGTCATCCATTTGCCTGCGAATCTCATGATTCCATTATTTTTTCTGCTGAATAGTACTCCATTGTGTAGATGTACCACATTTTCTCTATCCACTCTTTGGGTGAGGGACATCTAGGTTGCTTCCAAGTTCTGGCTATTACAAATAAAGCTGCTATGAACATAGTGGAACAGACATCTTTGTTGTATGAATGGGCATCTTTTGGATATATGCCTAAGAGTGGAGTTGCTGGGTCTTGTGGTAGGTTTATTCCCATTTTTCTGAGGAATCTCCATACTGATTTCCAAAGTGGCTGAACCAGTTGGCACTTCCACCAGCAATGGAGGAGTGTCCCCCTTTCACCACATCCTCTCCAGCATAAATTGTCATTGGTGTTTTTGATTTTAGCCATTCTGACAGGAGTGAGATGGTATCTCAGAGTTGTTTTGATTTGCATTTCCCAGATGGCTAAGGATGTTGAGCACTTTCTCAAGTGCCTCTCAGCCATTTTAGACTCCTCTATTGAAAACTCTCTATTTAGTTCTGCAGCCCACTTTTTAATAGGGTCCTTTGGTGTTTTGGAGACTTGCTTCTTGAGTTCTTTGTAAATTTTGGAGATCAACCCTCTGTCAGATGTGGGATTAGTGAATATTTTTTCCCATTCTGTGGGCTGCCTTTTTGTCTTGCTGACTGTGTCCTTTGCCTTACAGAAGCTTCTCAGTTTCAGAAGGTCCCATTTATTAATTGTTGATCTCACTGTCTGTGCTACTGGTGTTATGTTCAGGAAGCTGTCTCCTGTACCAATTCGTTCAAGGGTACCACCCACTTTCTCTTCTAAGAGGTTCAGTGTGGCTGGATTTATGTTGAGGTCTTTGATCCATTTGGACTTAAGTTTTGTGCATGATGATAAACATGGATCGATCCGCATTCTTCTACATGCCAGTCTCCAATTATGCCAGCACCATTTGTTGAAGATGCTTTCTTTATTCCATTGTATATTTTTAGCTTCTTTGTCAAAGATCAGATGTTTGTACGTGTGTGGGTTAATACCTGGGTTTTCAATTCGATTCCATTGGTCTACCTGTCTATTTTTGTGCCAATACCAAGCTGTTTTCAGGACTATAGCTCTGTAATAGATCAGGGATGGTGATGCCTCCGGACGTTGCCTTGTTGAACAGGGTTGTTTTGGCTATCCTGGGTCTTTTATTTTTCCATACAAAATTGATTATTGTTCTTTCAAGGTCTGTGAAGAATTGTGCTGGGATTTTAATGGGGATTGCATTGAATCTGTAGATTGCTTTTGGCAGGATTGCCATTTTTACTACATTGATCCTACCTATCCAAGAGCATGGGAGATCTTTCCATTTTCTGAGGGCTTCTTTAATTTCTTTCTTTAAAGATTCAAAGTTCTTACGATACAGGTCTTTCACTTGTTTGGTTAGCGTTACCCCAAGGTATTTTATGTTGTTTGTGGCAATTGTAAAGGGTGATGTTTCTCTGATTTCTCTTTCAGCCCTTTTGTCATCTGTATATAGTAGGGCTACTGATTTTCTTGAGTTGATCTTGTAGCCTGCCACTTTGCTGAAGGTGTTAATCAGCTGTAAGAGTTCCCTGGTAGAGTTCTTTGGGTCATTGATGTAAACTATCATATCGTCCTCAAACAGTGAAAGTTTGACCTCTTCCTTCCCAATTTGTATCCCCTTGATCCCCTTTGTTGTCATATGGCAATAGCTAGAACTTCAAGTACCATGTTGTAAAGGTATGGAGAGAGTGGACAGCCTTGTTTTGTTCCTGATTTTAGAGGAATTGCGTTGAGTTTCTGTCCATTTAGTTTGATGTTGGCTGTTGGTTTACTGTATATAGCTTTTATTATGTTTAAGTATGTCCCTGTTATCCCAGATCTCTCCAAGACCTTTATCATGAAGGGGTGTTGGATTTTGTCAAAGGCTTTTTCAGCATCTAGTGAGATGATCATGTGATTTTTGTTTTTCAGCTTGTTTATATGGTGGATTACGTTGATGGATTTTCGTATGTTGAACCATCCCTGCATCCCTGGGATGAAACCTACTTGATCGTGGTGAATGATTGTTTTGATGTGTTCTTGGATCCGATTTGCCAGTATTTTATTGAGTATTTTTGCATCAATGTTCATGAGGGATATTGGTCTGAAGTTCTCTTTCTTAGTTGTATCTTTGTGTGGCTTGGGGATCAAGGTTATTGAAGCCTCATAGAAAGAGTTTGGCAAAGACCCTTCTGCTTCTATTGTGTGGAACACTTTGAGAATAATTGGTATAAGCTGTTCTTTGAATTTCTGGTAGAATTCTGCACTGAGGCCATCTGGACCTGGACTTTTTTTGGTTGGGAGACTTTTGATGACAGCTTCTATTTCCATAGGGGTTATAGGTCTGTTTAAATTGCTTATCTGTTCTTGAGTTAGTTTTGGCAAATGATAGCTGTCCAGGAAGTCATCCATTTCCTTTAAATTTTCGAATTTTGTGGAGTACAGGTTTTCAAAGTATGACCTAATGATTCTCTGGATTTCCTCAGAGTCTGTTGTTATGTCCCCCTTTCCATTTCTGATTTTGTTAATTTGAGTGTTCGCTCTCTGCTGTTTGGTAAGTTTGGACAAAGGTTTGTCTATCTTGTTGATTTTCTCAAAGAACCAACTCTTCGTTGCATTGATTCTTTGTATTGTTTTCCTGGTTTCTACTTTATTGACTTCAGCCCTCAATTTGATTATTTCCTGGCGTCTACTCCTCCTGGGGGAGTTTGCTTCTTTGTGTTCTAGAGCTTTCAGCTGTGATGTTAATTCTCTGGTATAACTGTTCTCCTGTTTCTTCATGTGAGCACTTAGTGCTATGAACTTCCCCCGTAGCACTGCTTTCAAAGTGTCCCATAGGTTTGTGTATGTTGTGTCTTCATTTTCATTGAATTCGAGGAAGTCTTTAATTTCTTTTTTTATTTCCTCTTTGACCCAGGGGTGGTACAGTTGAGCATTATTCAATTTCCATGAGTCTGTAGGTTTTCTGCAATTTGTGTTGTTGTTGAATTCTAATTTTAAAGCATGGTGGTCTGATAAGATGCATGGAGTTATTCCAATTTTTTTGTAACTGCTGAGGTTTGATATGTTGCCAAGTATGTGGTCTATTTTTGAGAAGGTTCCATGTGGTGGTGAGAAGAAGGTATATTCTTTTTTATGTGGATGAAATGTTCTATAGATATCTGTTAATCCCAGTTGGGTCATTGCTTCTATTAGATTCTTTGCTTCTTTGTTGAGTTTCTGTCTGGTATTCCTGTCTAGTGGTGAGAGTGGTGTGTTGAAATCTCCCACTATAACTGTGTGGGGCTTTAGATGAGATTTAAGTTCTAATAATGTTTCTTTAACGAATGTAGATGCCTTTGTATTTGGGGCATAGATGTTCAGGATAGACACTTCATCTTGGTGGGTTTCACCTGTGATGAGTATGTAATGACCTCCTTCATCTCTTTTGATTGATTTTATTTTAAAGTCTAGTTTGTTAGATATTAGGATTGCTACCCCTGCTTGTTTCTTGGGTCCATTTGATTGAAAAAATTTTTCCCAACCTTTAACTCTCAGGTAATGTCTGTCTTTGAGGGTGAGGTGTGTTTCTTGTATGCAGCAGAAGGAAGGGTTCTGTCTTCGAATCCATTCTGCTAGTCTGTGTCTTTTTATGGGTGAGTTAAGGCCATTAATATTGAGGATATTAATGACCATTGATTGCTCATCCTTCTTCGATTTGCGATGGTTGTTGTTGGTGGAATTATGGTGGAATTTCACCCCTTTGTTCTTTTGGCTGTTGGTAGAGAGGGATTCTCTAATGGCTATGTTTTTCTGGTTGTAGTTAGCTTCCTTGGGTTGGAGTTTTCCTTCCAAAATTTTCTGTAGGGCTGGGTTAGTGGACACATATTGCTTGAATCTAGTTTTGTCATGGAATATCTTGTTTTCTCCGTCTATAGTGATTGAGAGCTTTGCCGGGTATAGTAGTCTGGGCTGGCATCCATGGTCTCTTAGTGTAGGTAGAATATCTATCCAGGACCTTCTGGCTTTCAGAGTTTCCATGGAGAAATCAGGTGTAATTCTGATAGGTCTGCCTTTATATGTTACTTGACCTTTTTCCTTAGCTGCTCTTAATATTCTTTCTTTATTCTGTATGTTTGGGGTCTTGATTATTATGTGGCGAGGGATTTTTTTGTGGTCCACTCTATTTGGTGTTCTGTAGGCTTCTTGTACCTTCATTGGCATGTCTTTCTTAAGGTTGGGAAAGTTTTCTTCTATGATTTTGTTGAATATGCCTTCTGCCCCTTTGAGGTGGATTTCTTCTCCTTCTTCTATACCTATTATTCTTAGGTTTGGTCTTTTCATGGTGTCCCATATTTCCTGTATGTTTTGTGTTAAGGATTTGTTGGATTTAAGGTTTTCTTTGGTTGATAAATCCATTTCTCCTAGTGTATCTTCAACACTTGAGATTCTCTCTTCCATCTCTTCTATTCTGTTGGTAATGCTTGTATTGGTAGTGCCTGACTGTTTGTCCAGCTTTTCTATTTTCTGCCTTTCTTCAGATTGTGTTTTTTAAATGTCTCTATTTCAGTTTTCAACCCTTGCAGTGTTTGCATTGCTTCTTGCAATTTTCTGTTTATCTTTTCGTCCGTTTGTTGCCTTTTATGAATTTTTTGGTTTGTTCTTTCTTCCATTTCTTGCATTTTTTGGTTTGCTTTTTGTTCCATTTCTCGTATTTTGTGCTTTGTTTCTTCTTCCATTTCCTGCCTTTTTTGGTTTGTTTCTTCCATTTTTTTCATTTTTTGCTTTGTTTTTTCTACCATTCCTTGCATTTTTTGCTTTGTTTCCTCTTCTTCCATTTCCTGCCTTTTTTGGTATGTTTCTTCTTCCAATTCTTGCATTTTTTGCTTTGTTTTTTCTTCCATTTCTTGCATTTTTTGCTTCATTTCTTCTTCCATTTCCTGCCTTTTTTGGTTTGTTTTTTCTTCCATTTCTTTGAGGGATTTTCCTATATCCTCTTTTAGGGCCTCTATCATTTTCATGAAAGTGCTTTTGAGGTCGTTCTCTTCTGCTTCGTTCGCATTGGAATGTTGGGGTCTTGCTGGTGTGGAGTCTCTAGAATCTGGTGGTGTCATATTTGTTTTTCTGTTGCTGAGTGTGTTTTTCTATTGTCTCTTTCCCATCTCTTCTTCTAGTGGGTGCAGAAAGAGCCCCTTACTGGTCTGGGGACCAGAGTTCCCTTTTGGTGGGTGCTAGCAAGTCCAATAATCTGGTGGTTCTTCTATTCCTTGTCCTCGTTCTGGTCCCGTGGAATGGAGAAGAAGAACAGGAATCTGGGGCGCTTAGCCTCCTACCTGGTCCCCTGGACCCTATGCTGGGTCCTGTTGTACCTGATCCGGAACAGCTACTCCCCTGGTCTCCCTGCCTCCTCTGGTTTCCTGGTCTCGTTGGTGGGAGAGAAGATCTGGAGTCTGGGGTGCTTGGCTCCCGCCGGGATTGGGAGCTCTGTGCAGTTCCCAGGCGATCTGCAGGCACTGGAACACAGGCCGGGAAGCCGGCCTGTTTACCTGATGCTGCCGGAGGAACAGCTCGGCTAGCTCTGTCTTAAGTATTAACCCATAACTGGTTATATATATATATTTCTACAAGGTTATATCTTAATGCGTCCTCTCCTCCTGGAATCACATGGCAACTCTCTACTACATTTCCCAGAATCCTCTTTCTCTCCTAGTCCCACCTATCTTGCTTTTCTATTGACCAACAGTGTTTTTTTGTTGTTGTTGTTTTGTTTTGTTTTTTTGTTTTTGGTTTTTCGAGACAGGGTTTCTCTGTATTGTTTTGGAGGCTGTCCTGGAACTCACTTTGTAGACCAGGCTGGCCTTGAACTCACAGAGATCCGCCTGCCTCTGCCTCCCGAGTGCTGGGATTAAAGGCGTGCACCACCAACGCCCGGCATGACCAACAGTGTTTTATTCATCAACCAATGAGACATAGTTACAGGATGACCTCTCCCATCATATAGCAGTCTCTCAGAACCAGGCTTTGGGGGTGGGGGGATCTTTGAGATCGGTAGAGTGGAGGATTCTGGGGAGCATGAAAATCCTCATAGGAAGGGCAGGGGTCTGAGCAGGAGTGAGAAGGTTCATGGTGTGTGCCTGGTGGCTTCTCAAGGGGATGTCTCTCAATGTGTGACAGCAGATGGTTCATTCCTCTAGGAAGCTGAGGGTGAAATCTGGGCTGTCTCTGTGAAAAGGTGGACCACGTGTGTTCCTAGAAAAGCTGGGTGATTTCAGTGGCCGTGCTATGCATTTCTGGGTGTATGAGGGTATGACAGGCATATGTTCTGCCTTTGGTCTGTAGGTGAACTTTTCTGTCCTGCCTGCCAGTTCCCAAATAACCACACAGAGACTTAATGTTAGATGTAAATGCTTGGCTGATAGCTTAGACTTGTCACTAACTAGCTCTTACACTTAAATAACTGCTTTTTATTATCTGTGTGCTCGTTTACCTCATTTATGAACTTCCCATCCTGCTCACGCGCTCTGTGTCTCATGTTGTCTCCTCCCTTCGTCTTCCCAGAGCTCTCCCTGTCTGTCTCTCCTGCCTGTGCCTCCTCCTGCCTAGCTACTGGCCACTTAGCTCTTTATTAAACTAATGAGAGTGACACATCTTCACAGTGTACAAAAAGATTACTCCACAACATTGGCCTTAGTTACTTTGGTGACAGTGGTCCTTAAGACTCAATTGAATCCCAGGCTAGAGAGATGGCTCAGTGGTTAAGAGCACTGGCTTCTCTTCCAGAGGACCCATATTTGTTCCTAGCACCTACGTGGAGGCTCATAACTGTCTGTAACTCCAGTTACAGTGCCCTCTGGATCCAATACCCTCTGGCCTCTGCAGGCACATGTGGGCTACAAAGAAAACATAAAGTACAGGCAAAACACCTATACACATAAAAATTTAAAAATAAATATTCAAGGGGCTGGAGGGATGGCTCAGAGGTTAAGAGCACTGACTGCTCTTCCAGGGGTCCTGAGTTCAATTCCCAGCAACCACATGGTGACTCACAACCATCTACAATTCTGGCATGTAGGCAGAACACTGTATATGTGATAAATAAATAAATTTAAAAACTAAAATAAAAATAAATATTTTAAAAGAATCAGTTGATTCTCAACTTGAAGGACCTTGTGAATTCCTAGGGGCATGTTAAGATGGAATGGGGGTGCTTTCTCATGGTCTTGAACATTTTAACATGGGAGAGAGGCACTGTGCCAGGGTCTCTGTGGGTGGACTCAGACTGTACTTAAGCTTTCAGGTCTCACTCTCTAGATGAGGTAGAAATGGTTCAGCAGTAGAGAATGAATGCATTTATCCCTGGACAGTATGCCTAGGGTGTACTCAGCCACACTGGCTGGCTATAATGGTGACTGCTACCTGTTGGAACACATTTATGTTTGATTGTTTTGAGACATGTAGTCCAGGCTGGCCTTGGACTCACTACGTAACTGAAGGCACCTTTGAATTCATGACCTTCTGAGTGCTGGGTTCAGGCATATTTGACAGTGCAAGGGCCTCTGTTTTGAAAAGGGCTGCCTGGTCTGAAGCCTTCAGGGAGGACCTGTGTCTGCCTTATCTGCATTCAAGGTGGCTGCAGATGGTGGCTCAGGGTTCTTCTCCCATCTTCTGAGCAACACAATTCCCTCAAATCTGCTGAACCCTATCTCCCTCTTGTATCTTTGCCACCTGCCAAGTGCCTGTTGCTCTGAGGGGATGGATGCATTCTTAGGTTGTGGTGGTTATGTTGAACATTGCAGCCCAGCCCAGCCTTCCCTTCCATTCTGTGGAAAGCGGGAAGCATTGGGTCCTGAGGTCGACGGCTGTTTTCCCTACTACCCCCCCAGTGTCACATCTTGATTCAACGCTCTTTTTTTTTTTTTTTTTTTTCCTTCTTGGGCACAGGGCAGCACTGGCTGGGCTGTCCCGCAGCCTGATGGAGCGTCTGGTGGAGAAGCATGGCGCTGGTGCGGTAAGAATGCTGACAGTTCAGTACCGAATGCACCAGGCCATCACTCGCTGGGCCTCGGAGGCCATGTACCATGGGCAGCTTACCGCCCATCCCTCTGTGGCAGGACACCTCCTGAAGTGAGTGACCTGGCTTCTTGCTTCCCCCTGACCTTTCTGCTTCACCTGGCTCCAGCCCCAGTTGGCGCTCTGTGGGAGGGAAGTGTCTCCTTTAGGGGCTTGGGGTGGCAGAGGCTGCTGACACTCATCTTCTCCCTGGGCCTTCCTGGGAGTTGGATCTATTGAGTGGCCCTTCTGTCTTTTGGGTGGGAATGATCAGTGCTGTTGTGAAGGAGGTCATTCCTACCTACCTTCTGCCTACTCCTGTGCCAGGGACCTCCCAGGTGTGGCTGACACAGAGGAGACAAGTGTCCCCCTGCTGCTCATAGACACAGCCGGCTGTGGACTGTTGGAGCTGGACGAGGAGGACAGCCAGTCCAAGGGAAACCCCGGTGAGTCCCCAGCCAGTATCCACTGGTCCTTCTTAGACTGCTTTTATAACAAGTCACTCCACGGACTGGAAATGAGCCTTAGCAGTTACGAGCGGTTACCCAAGGTCAGTTCCCAGCACCCTTATCGGACATCACACGATTGCCTGTAACTCCAGCTCAAGATACCCAATGGCCTCAGCAGAGCACCCAAGCATGTGTGGCTATCACATCTACACATAAATGAAAATAAATATTTAGAAATGAAGTAAACCGGGTCTCTCCAGGCATCTGCTTTAGCAAGGCACTGGGTGGCAGAGATGAGGACGGTTCCCGGTAAACTGTGCACCTGGTTGAACGCCAAAGGCATCTATGTGCTCTTTCTAGGCTCCTGGGGCTGGTGGCCTTCTCCACACTCTTCTGAAAGCAGCCTGGCTTCTTGGTTCATCTTGGGTTGAGAATCTCTCTAAGCCAGCAGGCCCCAGGTCCTGTGAAACTCATCTGCCAGCCTGTTGACCTGCTCAGCTGCCCAGCTCCCAGGATACTCTCTGCCCTTGACCCAGCATAAGATCTGCTCACAGCAGGCAGAAGTGTTCCCCACAGCTCAGTAACAGAGGCTGCATAGTATGGCCCTCACTGAACACCGCCTTTTCTCCTCCCCAGGCGAAGTTCGCCTCGTCACTTTGCACATCCAGGCACTGGTGGATGCTGGGGTCCATGCAGGTGACATTGCTGTCATCGCACCCTACAACCTTCAGGTGTGAGGGGTCCCCTTTTGTTTCTTTCTATCATTGGACTCAACTGGCTAGAGGCTAAAAGGACTGTGTCGTTTGTTGGCGTGTGTGACTACAAAGTCCAGGGCTAGAGTGGACCTCATTGTGGCCAGGTCTGGGGCCCAGAGGACACCAGCAGGAGACTATACATGTATTTATGCACCTCATGTTGCTATGAGCCTGTCCCCACTGGTTCCCCACTGTGACCTTCCTTGAGCATTCCCAGGTAGACCCAGTCCTATAGTCCATGCTTGCAGATCAGCATGCCCCAAGTTATATCCCTGCCCCCATCTGCTCTGGTAGGAGAAGCTTGCTGCCTGCATAGTGCAAGGTCCTCAGAAGCAGTGTCACCCTATTCTGGTTACCAGCATCACACAGGAGGCCATCAGAGACAAGGAGATGTCATAACTTAGAAAGTGCTGCCAAGCTCCCAGCATATAGCTTAGTGGAGACCCTCTCCCTAGTGTGTGAGGTCCCCAGCTCAGTCTCCACTGCTCTGTTGCTCCCAGACTAAGAAGAGAAAGAAGCTACAAGCTTCCTGGACATAGTCTCATGGCAGTATACGGCTGTTGTAGTCACTGAGGGGTGCCCTTAGTGCCATTCCTGCAGGTCAGGGCTCCCGGGGGTGATGGGTCTTGAAGTCCCTGCTTTCTGTTTCAGGTGGACCTGCTCAGACAGAGCCTCTCCAACAAGCACCCTGAGCTCGAGATTAAGTCTGTTGATGGCTTCCAAGGCCGAGAGAAGGAGGCTGTGATCCTGACCTTTGTCAGGTCCAACAGGAAAGGTACATGACGCAGCCCCCCCCCCCCCCCCCGTGGGAGCCTTGAGCACAGCCTGGGAGTGAGTGTGCTGATCATGAAGGCACCAGGAACCCTCCTGTATGGGCAGCATCACTGTTCAGTCTCTACCCCCTGAGCTCATGCAAAGTGCAGGACCAAGGGCATGGTATTGACCCCTCAGGGTCAGCAGAGCCCAGGTAGACAGGGAGCATCCTGGGAAGCAAAAAGAGCTTCCCATCCTAGTGTCGGGAGGGGAGAGCAAGGGAATAGACTCAAGTGACTGGGGAGACAGGCTGGGGCATAGTGGGCCCCAAGTGACTTGGTCACCCCGTCCAGAAGGAGGAACCCTTCCCCCATGCCCTAGAGCCTGTCTTTTGGCCTTGAGGGATGATTTGATTTTTGTGTGGCTGTAGCTTGTCATATGGTGAGAAAACTGCACCCAGGCAAACTGGATCGTGAGCTTGCAGAGTGGCTTTGGTAGCAGACTGGAGATGGATAGGAGGGAAATGGCTTTGGCACAGAGCCTTGCCCTGTGTCCACAGCGCCTGTTCCTAGCATCCTGACTACACTTGGGGAGGAGACTGTACTTGCCAGGCAGTGGTGCAGTCACAGTGCTCCCACACTGGCCAGCAGTGGGACAAGCATCAGGTAGTGTGTGCAGGGAATGCCAAGGGGCAGCTCTAGACTGCTGTAGCTCTGATGATGTGACCGGTCCTGACTGTCCCTGACAAGCATCCTGTTCCCTGCCTTGGTTCTCTGTCTCTCTCACCTCTAGCCTTTTTTCAGGTGAAGTTGGTTTTCTGGCTGAGGACAGGCGGATCAATGTTGCTGTCACCCGTGCCCGGCGCCATGTGGCAGTCATCTGTGATTCCCGCACTGTCAATAACCATGCCTTTTTGAAGACCCTGGTGGATTATTTCACAGAGCATGGGGAGGTACGCACAGCCTTTGAGTACCTGGATGACATCGTCCCTGAGAACTACACCCATGAGGGCTCCCAGGGCCACAGCCATGCTCCCAAGCCCAGGGGCCCTGTCACCTCCATCAGGAAGCCTACCAATGAGCAGGAGAATGGCCAAGAGGCCAGAGCAGCTGCTGGACAGGGCCGCAGGAAGCCGAACGAGAGGCCCCCGGGCTCTCAGGTCCACTCCCAGCCCAGCTCTGGTGCGAGAGGCTGTGATAGAACTGGAGCAATAGACCGCACAGAGCACTTTAGGGCCATGATCGAGGGGTTTGTGGCCAGCAAGGAGTCACAGTTGGAGTTTCCCGCATCCCTGAGCTCCCATGACAGACTACTAGTCCACCAGATAGCTGAGGAGCATGGGCTAAGGCACGACAGCACCGGGGAGGGGAAGGCCCGGCACATCACTGTGAGCAGGAAGAGCCCTGCAGGTTCTGGCGGTGTGGCCCCACAGCTTCCTTCACCCCCCAGCCCTGCACAGGCTGAGCCTGAACCACTGTCACAACAGCCCCTTGGGCAGCCACATTGCTCCACACAGCTGGATCTGAAGGCACTGCACCTGCAGAGGCTGCAGAGACAGCAGGGCAGCCAAGCCCAACCCGCCAAGGCACAGCCAGGTGTGGGTTTGCATCCACAGAAGACTCAACAGAAGAAAAAGAAAAAAGAAACAAAAGGTGAGCCACAGTTCCTCTCAAGCTTCCTATCTCCTGCCACCTGCCACTCCCTGCTGCCCAGGAGCCAGTTAGACTCCCGTGGCCATGTGGAGTTTGCTTTTCCTGTGATTCTTGTCTCTCTGGCCTGGCCTCCCCTGGGGTCATAACAGGCAGGTCACCTGCTCATCCCCAGAGCCCTGCAGGAGCAGGAGAGAGAAGCCTTGGCGTGCTTAGTGCTGCTGTCCCTATGGGGAAAGGAGGCAGTTAGGGCCTTATGGGGCAGGGCATGTTCTTACTGGCAGCATAGGTCCAGGTCCTCAGAGTTGCAGGCTTGCTGAGCCCATCCCTCTTTTGCCCCCTGCCAGGGCCCAGTAGACTGTGTGCTCTGCATTCAACCTGCACTGTGCCTGCCATCCCCTGGGTGACCCCAACCCCTGAATTGACACACATGCTCCACCACAGCAAGGGCGAACCTGCTGGGGCATGGTTCGGAACACTTCAGTGGGCCCCCGCCAACAGGACCACGGGTTGGCTCCCTTTGGGACATTATTCCCATGAGCAGACCTCACAGGTGCCATTCTTGGCTTCGGAACCAGCCCCCCAGGGTTGGGGCACTGCTCCATGCATGCCATAGTACATGGAATGGCTCCTATAGCCAGGCTATGTGCTAGTGACCAAGATGACCCCTGCCTCAGATGGAGAAGCACTTTGTCTGTGCCTTGGCAAGCCTGGACCTACCCATGTCTGCTTTTCCTGCCACAGGGCCTACATGGCCTGGGAGCCCCGTCCACTCCTAGGATTCTGGGATTGCCTCCGGCTACCATCTTTCAGAGTTCCCAGGATCTCACGTGTTCTGCAAAGGTTCAGGCCCTGTACCAGCAGCCGAGGTGCAGGGTGGCCACACCTATGACAGGCTTTGCCTGGCCAGTGCTCTTCAGGACCCTGGCCATGGAGTGATGGCTGACAGGAAGGATGAGCTGAAGGCAGGAAGGTTGGGTTGCATCTTCTATCTGGTCTGACTGCTCGGCTGGTCCTTATTTCTTGTCCATCTCCTGAGCATGCTCACTGAGGGTGCTGCCAGAATGGGATGCACCCTCCCCAAGGTCCTCTCTAAGTCACTTGGTTCTACTTGGGATGTGCCAGGGTCCAGTGTCTGGGTGGCTTCAGTTTCCCCTTATATAGCCAAGAGGGGAGAGCAGAGATCACTGGACACCCTATATACGGGAGACAGAGAGAGAGAGAGAGAGAGAGAGAGGGAGGGAGGGAGGGAGGGAGGGAGGGAGAGAGGGAGGGAGGAAGGAAAAAAGAAGGAAATCACTGGACACATACACATGGGGTTGGCAGAAGCAGATATTATTATTAGGTGGGCACAGGTGATCCAGGAATTATTATATTATTATTATTATTAGGTGGGCACAAGTGATCCAGGAGTTATTATATTATTATTATTAGGTGGGCACAGGTGATCCAGGAGTTATTATATTATTATTATTATTAGGTGGGCACAGGTGATCCGGGAGTTATTATATTATTATTATTAGGTGGGCACAGGTGATCCGGGAGTTATTATATTATTATTATTAGGTGGGCACAGGTGATCCGGGAGTTATTATATTATTATTATTAGGTGGGCACAGGTGATCCGGGAGTTATTATATTATTATTATTAGGTGGGCACAGGTGATCCGGGAGTTATTATATTATTATTATTAGGTGGGCACAGGTGATCCGGGAGTTATTATATTATTATTATTAGGTGGGCACAGGTGATCCGGGAGTTCTGGGAGACTTTGTCTAGTCTCAGTCCCTCACACCTGACCCTAGTGTGCCTAGGCACTGTAGCACCTACCAGTACATAGGGAGGTGCATGGAGCCATGGGCAGACCGGGGCCTGCCTCCACACTCTCTGCCCTGGTGTTGCACATGTGTGTACTTTGTGGGACCACACTGTGTGTCGCTGCATTTCTGTACTCCTGAGCTTTCTCTGGCAAAAATTGTATTTCTTAAACATCGACAGTCACAGCCTCCATTACCCAAGCTCTGTTAAAACTTTACATTTATTCATTGTGTATATGTGGATGCATGTGTCATAGCACACATTTGGGGGGTCAAAGGACAACTTTCAGGAGTCAGTGTTCTTCATTCCACAGATGGAACTCAAATTGCCAGGGTTGGAGGCCAGTGTTCTTAACCAGTAAGCCATTTCACTGCCTTCACCTGAGAATTTTTTACTTGGTCCCAAGTATGTAGATATATAATATACAAATTGTACATTTACCAGTAAGTCATAAAATTCGGGGGGGTTGGTTTTTTTTGTTTTTTTGTTTTTTTTTGAGACGGGGTTTCTCTGTATTATTTTGGAGGCTGTCCTGAAACTCTGTAGACCAGGCTGGCCTTGAACTCACAGAGATCCACCTGCCTCTGCCTCCCGAGTGCTGGGATTAAAGGCGTGTGCCACCAACGCCCGGCAGATTCTGTTTTAGAAGTTCTTTGGTATACATAAAATTTTACCATTTATTAAAGATGAGAGCAAATCTGCTTCTAGTCAGCCAGACACTTGTCTAACACAACACAGTCCAAAGATGTACCACTTGATAAATTCTGAGGAGCGCTGGGCAGGAAGTGCCCCATTGTGTTGGTGTCTGTAGTTAGAACAAGATGCCTTTGTGAGAATGGAGTCACCTACAGTGAAGCACCAAGCTCCTGACACGGACTGCAGTCACAGCAGAGACTGGTCACTCTGGCGTGATGGCAGGGGCAGTGCTGAGCACATGTGTTGTGTGTTCAGATCCAAGGCTTCAGCAGAGGCACCATGCAGCACACATTTGATTTTGAATAGATTTTTGCTTATTGTATTTCTAGAGGCTTTCACAGTTGCTGAGTTTTTCATGACTCCATCCTGACCCCTGAACACCCACAGTTTAAGTAAGATATTTCATTGTCAAACAAGCAATTCCTGCCCTTGGCTAAGAGTCTGAGGGACTTCTACTGGGGCCTGAGTTGAGTAGCTTCCATCCCTGGTGGTACTGATGTTTGGCCTGGGTTCTGTTTTTGCAGTTGATTCACAGCCCCCTGACCCCTCAAAGATTTTCTGGTAAAAAGGTACACTTTTAGAGGCATTCTGCACTGTGTCCTACCCCTCAGACCTGGGCAGTGGGCTGGGCAGGCCCTCAGCTCCGCATTGTGTCCTCCCTAGAGGCTGGGCTGTGAGGTGGGCAGTGTATTGGGCAGGTTGTCCACTTGGTGAGGACCCTGCACCCTGGGCTGATAGCAAATCCCACCAAGGACTCTGGGGTTGGGGTGTCTGCTGTCTGCAGTGTCTGCTCTCCATCCTTTCCCTTGCCTGAGCACTGCCTCGTTCCTTCCCAGGTCCAGCTCTGCCCTGCGAGGAGGACTTTGATGCCCTGGTGTCAGCTGTGATTAAGGCTGACAACACCTGTAGCTTTGCCAAGTGCACGGCCAGCACCACCACCCTGGGCCAGTTCTGCATGCACTGTAGCCGCCGCTACTGCCTCAGCCATCACCTGCCTGAGGTGACAGCTCCTCCCAGATGGTGTGGGGGCATCACTTAGGGTGGGGGGTAGCCAGACCAATTTAAGCCCTCCCTAGCCCATTTCCTATAAAAGCCAAAACAGATGCTGATCATGATCTGCTGTGAACACTCGAGGCACAAGGAAGCAAAGTGCACCTTTGCCAAGGGACAACCACAGCAGTGGAGACTCTGGGTAGAGGAGGTCTGTCCATCCTGCACTCTGTAGATTGATTGGCTAACCTAGCTCCAGGCAGAGGCTGGGGAGTGACTCTGGCCTGCAGACTCTTCAGGTCAGGTACAGGACCTGTGAGGACTTGGGAGCAGAGCAAGCTTTGGTTCCCTGGGGCACCCGGGCTTGGTGGGGATTTGAGAAAGAGGCTGGCATAGAGTAGGGGACAGAAACTACGGAGTGCTTCCAGGAGGCAGTCCAGGAATCAGGACTGTTTGGGGTTAGTGTGCTAAGGCCCACAGGGTGGGAAGTTAAGCCTGGCTGGGGAGTACAAGAGTAACAGCAGGCTGTCCTTCCTTCTAGCGTGCAGAGGCCCCAGCATAGTCAGCTGGGTTGGGTGGAATGACCTGGGCTATCAGAGTCAGATGTGGGCAGCACAAGGTGTGACCAGGGCCATGGTATCACCAGACTGGCAGCAGCTTGGAGAGTTGGGGCTGGTGGTAGGAGCAGCTGCAGGGACCATGTGGACAACTCTGTAAGCAGACAAGGGATGTTACCTCCTGTCCATAATCCCCAGGGCTCCAGCCTCAGGATGTAGACTCATCACTGGGTAGCTGTAGAAGGATGGACTTGGGGAAGGCAGAGAGTAGATCCACGGTCTCGCACCAGCCTTAAGTATTCCCTTTGATGCAGATGTACAGGCTGCAGTCTCCCATGCCCACAGCTCACCCTGACTCTTGTGTCTTTTCAGATCCACGGCTGTGGTGAAAAGGCTCGCGCCCATGCCCGGCAGATGATCAGTCGGGAAGGAGTACTCTATGCAGGCAGTGGGACCAGGGATAGGGCTCTGGACCCGGCCAAGAGGGCCCAACTGCAGAGGAGGCTGGACAAGAAGCTGGGTGAGCTCAGCAGCCAGAGGACAAGCAAGAGGAAGGAGAAGGAGAGGGGGACATGAGGCGATGTCCCCATGCAGGGCCGAGTGGGGCAGAGGGCCAGGGCCTGTGACCAGCTTCCTCGGCAGCAGGTGGAACACAGTCCAGCACTAGCCATTTCTATGCTCATTCTGGCATATCCCCCTGTTCCTCAGTGACAAGGGTGGTGTTCTCAAAGAGACCTGCTTGGTCTTAGACTCCATCAGATTAACTGCCTGACTGCCCAGACCCCATTAATGCTGCTCAGGTGCGTGTCCTGAGAAGTGAGTGCCGTGCATGGCTAGCTGGCCATGGCCACCTCCATCCTGTCTTCAATGACACAGTGGGCATAAAGTGTGTGCTCTGGGGATAGGAGGGTGGCTGCTCCAGGGCTGGGAGGCTCCTAGCCTGTGATTGCCTGCACTCTGCTGCTGCTTGGTGACTGGTGAGAAGGAGCCATCCCAGGGCACCTCACTGCTCACCTCACAAAGTCTGCATCCTCTCCAGAATTCTATACCAGTTGCTCCTGGGAACTTTGACAGATGTGTTTTTGCCTCAGGCTCTTGTTTCAAAAGAATGTGAGTTATTTGCAAATTAAAGTGTATACATAGTGGCTGTTTGCCTGTGACAAAGGTGAGTATCCTTTACCTCTGGCCCAGATATCACTCTGTATATAGGGTGAATGGGTGGGCAGTGATAGCACCTCCCAAGGCATCCAGGAGTGATGGTATAGGGCAATACGCAGTCTGGCAGCAGAGACGAGGCAAGGCCAGTACTGGGAAGTCACATGATGTGTGAAAAGAAAAGGATGCCCTCTCAGCTGGCTTTCCTAGCAAGGAGGATGGAGTTTGAGATTGGGAAGTTTGGCAGCATATAACTGGACAGTCAACCCAGACTGCAGGGAAATGCTGGACTCCCAAGATGGGTTGTATGGGATACTTCCTGCTGGGGCCAGGCTCTGAATCCTCCCTCCCATGAGGGTCTTCATACCCTGCTATCTGCCTGTTCTCCCTAAGGGTCATTTTTGTTCAAGCAAAGGGAAGCATGGCTTCCATGACCTGGTGCCTGAGGTTCCTCTCCTGGGAGCCTGTTCATGCTGCAGTCACACTACTGTCCCCCAAGTGGCTGCACACCTTGATCTCTGTGCTGTTGCCAGGGCAGGACCATCTTTGCCCTCTGCTGTGTGGCTGTGTCCTGCAGGTTGGACATGACCATGGCCACCTGAACTAGAGCAACTGTAATGTATGCACAGGACCTTAGGAGACTAGGTTTCTTAACAGTCCCCTGCGTAAGGTCTCCCAAGACTCCTCTCCTTCTTGAGGTTGTTGAAGAGGCAAACAGTTGGCTGGTGGGGGTACTTTTAGGTAATGCAGCTGCCCATATGTCCCCCAAGGGAACTTCTAGATGGTACACCTGCTGCCGAGTCACCCATGCCCAGGAGGCTTCCATGCAGTACAGAGTCACACATGCTCCTGAAGCTTTGCCATCCACCCAGTTAGACTTGGACAGAAGCCTTCCTTTGGTCTGTGGTGGCCTCTCTCCCTGGGGTGAGATCAGCCATCTCTCCCCGCAAAAAGTCATGTAACAGCACCTCCTCCTCCTGTGCTCATGGTTGCCTTCCTTGCTTGTGTCCATGTGTAGTGTTTGGACAGAATTGTTGGGAAGGGGACATGGCTGTGGCTGCGATTATACCCCAGTGCAGAGCTCAGCCACCAGTGCAGCACTAGGCAACACACACACACACACACACACACACACACACACACACACACACACACACACACACACACACACACCAAGCCTGTTCACCTACTAAGCAGGTAGGAGAATGACCGCGTTACTCTCAGAAGTGAACAGGTGTGGCTTGGTCCCTGTACACTGGCATGGGCCATTGCCTGCACCGTGTCTTCACACTCCACAAAGCCCCTTGGGGATCATCCTCACTCTGACTGCTCCTCCATTAAAATGCTGACATCAAAGGTGGCTAAGTTCAAAGTTTCCATGTCTCATCCCAGAGAGTCCTGGTTAGGAAAATGTTTGTGTCTGATTGCTTGGAAAGAATGTCCTATAGCCTAGCTGGGCAGGTTAGCCCAGGAAATGGAAAAGGCAGCCAGACGTCTCCCCCAGCCACTGTGAGCTCTGGGTTGCTGGGACAGCCTCTTAGGAGGGAGTGGCTCACACCCGTTTAGGTTTGTTAGGAGTGAAGTTTCTTGTGAGGTCCATAGGTGGCTCTGAAGGTGGAGAGGGGTTTTACTCATTGTACTACAGCCCCAAGTTTTTCTGGACTTGTATCTTACTTTCCTCATCTGTAAAATGGGGCATTACAGGACCTACTTCATAGGGCAGTTGTGAAGGTTAGAGAAAATGTAATGCAAGTGTCTGCTTTCTGGATGTTATTACCATTGTTCTCTGGCAAAGCCACTATACTACGCAGGGCTTCAAAACACAATGCTGCCACTGCTGGTCAAGGCTCACCAGTGTGCCTCTGTAGCATTACCCAGGCGGGTGGCCCCAGCAGGCTGCTGGGCGCCCAGCTGCTTCAGGAGGTTCCAGGCCCAAGTGACAACCTTGGCACTTACAGGGAATGGCGGTCTGTGCCAGGAGCTTGGCAATTGCTGCAGCCTTATTTGGTCTGGAAACTTCTGAGTGGAGGAAATGTGGAGCAGGCCAGTGGACCTCTAGTGGGCGGGCAGAGATGTGGCTGTTTCCCAGGACTGGATCTGGATGTACCGATGACCTCCATGACTGAGTTCCCTTCTGAGTGCTCACCAGGACCAATACTACTTAGCATCCAACAGCAGACAAGGCTGTATGTCAGTATGGCAAGGCTGCACACCCTCCCTGTTTCTCTGTTGGGCTGACCCTCTTTGCCCTCTCCCACTAGATCCCAGCTTAGCCCTCATCCTACCTTCTGCCTCTCAGGAGTAACTGTCATGAAGGAGCAGTGACCCTCTGAGAGTGCAGGATCCTCCATGAGTTAGCAGGTACAGTCCTGGTCATTCCAGTCCACCCCTCCCCCCCTTTCTCAAAAGCTCCCTGGTGTGGTCTGTGCTTAATTCCTTTGCCTTCCTACAGTTCCAGGAACTGTGGACCCACCTTCTGTACTTGGAAATTGACCTATTCTGGAAACTTCATTTGAATACATAGTCCTTTGCCTCTCAATTATCTTACTTAGCATCCTATGTTCAAGGTTTGCCCAGGTTGTATTATGCATCAGTCTTGTTTCTTTGTGCTCAAGTAACATCCTATTCTGTGGACATATCTCAGTTGTTTAATTCATCACCTGTAGGAGGATAGTGAGTTGCTTCTGTTTGGGGGCTGTTGGGAACCACAGAGATGCTGTGAACATTCACTTTCAAGCTCTTTTATTTTTATTTTTGAGACAGACTCTCATGTAGATTAGAGATGGGTCTGACCTGGACCTTGCTGTGTAGTCCAGGCTGGTCTCCAGTTCTTGACCCTCCTGCCTTCCTTCCCGCTTGCTGGTGTTGCAATTGTGTACCTCCATGCCCAGGGGATCAGAGAGTTTACAAAGCCCATTTCTGCTCTTGAGAAGGAAGAACTCAGTGTTCCAGAACTCATAATTTCAGCATAGAGGCTGTGGACCCATAGCCTAGTGCTATGCCTTTTTCCTGTGGGTAACAGGGTCAGGGATGGAAAGGGGAGAGATTCAGGTTCCCAGGGTGGAACCAGATGCTAGAAGGAAGGTGATATTGTGACCAGGGCTGCACAACACCATTCCCAGCTGAGTGCTGGCCCTAAACACCATTTATCATGCTTAGTGGATAAATGACAGATGGCTTGCCCCAAAGAGGGAAATGTGTCTCTTGTAGCTGCTGTGGGGTCAGGCTGGGGCTAACGTTTGGCTGAGACTGTCTTTGCCCAGCAGTGCCTGGTGGTGTCCATCCTGATGTCATTTTCCTAGTCACTCACCCACACAGACTCTGCTCTGGCCACCAGACCCGAGCCACACACCACAGCCTTTTGGCTTTAGATGCCGGCTGTTTTCAGATGATTATCTCTAAATTATGACTGCTCTTCCCTAACCCCTATGGTTGCTCACATTTGTGTGTGTGTGTGTGTAAAGGGTCTTGTGTAACCTAGGTGTAGTAGTTTCTATTGGAATGGCCCCTATAGGCTTATCTGTTTGAATGTGTGTGGGGGGGGGAAGGGTCTTGTGTAACCTAGGTGTGGTAGTTTCTATTGGAATGGCCCCTATAGGCTTATCTGTGTGAATGCTTGGTCTCCAATTAGTGGAACTGTTTGGAAAGCAATAGGAGTGCGACCTTGTTGGAGGAGGTGTGCCACTGGGCTTTGAGGTTTTCTGTCTCTCTCTGTCGGAATCAGATGTAAGGTCTCCGTTACTGCTCCAGCACCATGCCTGCCTGACTGCTGCCGTGCTCCCCTCCATCATGATGTCTTAGTTATTGTTGTGCTGCTGCCAAGAGACACCATGACCAAGGCAACTTATGAAAGAAAGCATTTAATTTCAGAGGGTGAGCCCATGATCATCGTGGCAGGGAGGAAACTGACAGGCGTGGTGCTGGTGCTGTAGCTGAGGACTTTACATTCTGATCCACAGGCAGCAGGTAGAGAGAAAATGACACTGGGCCTGGTGTGGCCTTTTGAAACCTCACCCCCAGTGGCATGCATACTCCAACAAGGACATACGTATTCCAATAAGGTCACACCTCCGAATCCTTCCTAAACAGTTCCACTAACTAGGTACTAAGCATCAAAATATATGAGCCTATGGGGTCCATTCTCATTCAGGCCATCCCAGATGATGATGGACTAAGTTTCTGAAACTGTAAGCCAGCCCCCAGTTAAATGCTTCCTTTTATAAGTTGCCTTGGTCGTGGTGTTCTCCGCACAGCAAGAGAACAGTGACTAAGATATCAAAGATGACCCTGAACTACTTATCCTCCTCCCTCTGCCTCCACAGAGTGCTGGGATTTCAGGTGTGACCCCACACTGGCTTTGGTACTTCCTCTTTCCTGACTTTTAAATGTGCCGGGCTTTCTCCTGGACCCTGCACTCACTGCTGCCCCAGCCGAGACCTGAAGCTCTCTGCCCTAACCCCAGTGTGGCCTCCTCTTCCCCGATCGATCTTCACTTGACCTCTGACTGACTCTCACTGTTCATTGATGTCAGTAAGGTTGATGGCAATTGGCAATATAGGAGGCGGCAGGCCAGGACAGACAGTGTGCAGTCTTTCCTGGCCACCTTGGTCTCCCCATTCACCCTGGCTGTTCTTGTCTGAAGTGGATTTCCAGGCCCAGACTTGGGTAGAGCACCACTGGGGAGTATTAACTGCAGGAATCACGAGAGCCAGGACCCAGAGGCTGATGTGACGGAGTCTCGCCCTTGGGTTGACATTGGTGTCTTCTAACCCATCCTTGGTGAATGCAGAGACAAGATGAGAAGGGTGGGGCAGTTCTGGGCTCAACCCCATGCTGACTCCCAAGCTCCAGGCTGCCTTAGCACCCCCTCACCATATAGCTAG